GAATGGCTCATACTGCAGGCAGCCCAGGATGCCCAGGACCTCTGCAGATCGCTTGAAAGTGTCCAATCTTGATGCACTTTGCGCAAAGCTTTCCTCATTCTCGGAATTCTTGTGCGTTGGCTAGATGCCCAGACAAACCAAACCGGTAACACTCGTGTGTTAGAACTGCCAGACAACCACCGCTTGCTGGACGACACCTGGTTTTCTTGACCTGCTGGACATTGACAGTTTCATGCCCCTGCTCATAGACTCCGGCACCTTCCGCTGCTCGCTCGAACGTTTGCAGAATTTTAACAGCCTGAGCTAGCGTAAGCTGCGACCCCTTCAGAAGAAGTTTTTGCCGCATTTTCAGACTTCAAATTCCGCCGACAAGCTCGTCCTGCAGTGCCGTTTCCAAGTCATTGTAGTCGCATGTCTTCGACAGCTGTCGGAGAGCACTTGCGCACGCCCATACTGGCTCGTTAGAAAGTTGTCGTAACGTGAACAGACGTCGTTCGACAAGCACATTCACAATGTTTTTGAAGTGACGGACGCTCCAGTAGGTCAAGTGCCTCCGTGTAAACGGCCGATTTACTTGCCTCTGTTACTGCAGCAGTGACTATCATGGTTGCAGTCTCGGGGACCAACATATCAAAAACTTGGCACCCTTCAACCCCCAGGCACTGTAGTAGTGTCACCTTTAGTCAGGCCGGCGGTGTTACGTTTAGCCCCGTCACTTGTAGGAAGTTGTCCAAGCCCTCCTGCCACTGCTACCAGAAAACCATTGATTCTCCTGGTGCCTCTAAGAATGGGACTAAGAGTGGTAGCCCCAGCGTATTCACCCCGTAGACGAGCAGGCGACACCCCTCCAGAACTAATCGCGATAGTGGGCTGCGATGGCCGCAGCCGAGAAGCATGCTCCATTGTCGACTGCGCCTATCTGTGGTGGCGCCGGGCGATGATGAAGCCTGTCCAGTTGAGCAAGTAACGACATGCGCAGGGTGTGGACGCTGAACTATCTTTACTCCGATGATGATGTGCATATACAGATGTTGGCATGATATACAGCCCCCTCTATATACAGTAATTTCTCGTTATGACGAAATCAACGAGATGGGCAATTACATTCTATATAAGCGGCAATTCGATAAAAGCGATAGAGCCAAAAAAAGTGCCAGCAGCCTTGAAGGTGGACAGGAACACTGTGGAACACTCTGACCAAATATTTAGTCAAACAAACCTTAGCTATGAACATCACGTGGCAGCTTTACTGAGTCTGGCATCGCAAGAATACTGTCACTGCCACTGCACTCCACTTTGTTTCAAAGCAGCCATAGGATGTTTCGCGCCTCTGCAGTCTTTGGCGTTTCCCAAGGTGCCCTTTTTGACGTCGCTTCGCGTTTACCCTGGCCGCATGAAAGGTCTACAATCGCAGCATCTGTGGCAGAAGCAACAGGAACATCCGCATCGGCAAGCGCAAACAAAACAAAGTTATCCTCGGCGACTGTGCTAACATGTTTTCACACACTCCTGTAGAATCGCTGCAGCTGTGGAAATCGTGTGCCGGCTCAGCAAGCATGCTCACGAGAAAAACTCCGACGTGCGCGAAGCAGTTTGCAATGTTTGATCTTTGGGTCGCGGGAGCACTTTCTTCTGCATGAGAAACTTCTTGAACCCGTCCAATATGCCTTGCTTGTTCTGCAAAATGGTGGACAGTGTAGAACAGCCAATGCCGGAATGTTGAATTCTTTGGCGACATCGGACTTGGGCCGGCCACATTTCTCAACCTCGCAGATCTAAGTGACTTTCGGTAAACACTCCCAATCTCCCATACGACGTACGCGTGTGTACAGTCAAACCCGTTCATAACAAACAGCAGGAAACGGTATGATAAGTACGATATAGCAAGTAGTTCGATATAGCAAAAACCATTTAAAACGAACTTCCACGATGCGTTCGTTGTAAGGCGAGAGCTCCTCTTTTTTTTCTCATCTCTTCGCTTCTGCCTTGTAACAACGCATTGATTTTTTTTTTGCATGCGATTAGATTTTTTTTTTCCTTATCTTTCCTTCTGAATCGCTTCTTTTCGTGGGCAAACGCTTTGGGCTGAAAAGCTCCTTTTTATCTGTGCGTGCATGCAGAGCGTTTCTTTTTTTTAGCTCTCTTTCCTTCTGAATTGCTTCACTTCACTCAACTTTGTTCGGGGCTTGAGCTTTTGAAATTTTCTTTCTTTCCTACTTTTTTTTTTTTCGGGGGGGACACACACACGCTAGAAGACGATTGTTTGCGCGTTTTTGGGAGCCTTCCCGGCGGGAAAAGTTAGATATAGCCAATGTGTTGTTCGTTATAAGTACTTTTTATGTGTGTTTTTATTTAAAGTTTTCGTGAGTTCGATATCGACAATAATTCGCTGTACGTGGGTTCGTTCTAAACGGGTTTCACTGTAGTACGCTGCAAGTGCACCCGCGCAGGTGCGCGCGTTGGGGACCCCTGATGGGATGATCTCCTCCGAAGTCCATTGCTCCCTTGACCCGATTCCGACAGGAGTTGGGCGCTCTACCAGCTCTGCCCTCTGTTCACTCCTTTTTCCCAGGTTGCCATTTGCCTCGGTGGAAAAAGGGGGGAAAGAACGCGAGGGTCTCAGTGTGCCTCCATGTAGGCTTGCATGCTTTCGGCACCTTGGCCTTCATAATAAGTGTGGTCAGCCGCCGATACACTTAGAGTAATCCGGTTAACAATACGTGCATTTCGATCGGGACCACGCTCAACTTCGATAAAAGCAGGAATTCGAAAAAAGCTATTTCGTTATAACGAGGGATTACTGTGTAACAATTGCAGTTAAGCTTTTCAATGTCTAAATGAATGTTATGCCAGATTCCTTAAGTTTCTGGTCTGAAAACTTCACCAATTTCCACCTTGCTCTAACTTTTTTGTGGTAGGTATTAGTGATACTCAATGGGGTGACCATATGAGAAATCGAAACTTGCAAACTAGGTTTTAATATTTATTCAACAGTAAAGGTGCATTATATGCTTATGCACTTGGGCAGAAAACTTTTCAGTGCTATCAATTGTTCTAGGTTACTGCAATAGACATTGCCAGACTTCCAGTCTTGCCTTCAGTATCTGCTTGTCTCAAATGTCAGGCGAAGCCATCTTCAAGCAATGGCGTCCAGCAGCACATGGCCTCAGACATTCTTGGCGAGCTTTGTGTGCCAAGAATCTTGGAGGCCACGGGCAGCAACATCTTGTGCGTGTTTCTAGCGATGGTGGCATATACTGTCTGCTATCAATGCAGTCTTTTGAAATAATAGAAAGGTTGCATATAGCCTCTTTGAATTCTCAACAAAACCTCGAGGCGAGTATGGATTTTGATCTAGCCCTCCTAGTAGGCTCCTTGTCCAATTAGATTTGTTTCCCACATTGTGCCAAGAGCACACCTCTGGTGGTTCAGTTTGCACTTAAAAAAGTTCTTCCATAGCATGACACGAAATTAAAGGCAGAGGCATCTAAGGCTTGTGAATATACTGATCTTTACACATAGCTAGAAAACATTAATTGTTAGATAACTGAGGGTACCAGAATGCAAGAGCAGCGAAAAATTCATTCTTTCTTTTTTTGTGATGCGGTGAGCTACTTGAGCGTAAAATTATGAAGATACACAATGGACCTTTTTCGAGTAAGGAGCGCCGTCTGGGGAGTTGTCTGCGAACTACAATAGAAGAGCAGCCCAACATGCCTCCGCCGTCAAAACACGTCGGCATCGTGCCGTTGCATCGGCTTTCAGTGCTTTTTATATCCCATACTACCAGATTCTAAAAACAAAGAGTCCAAATAGACTAAATACGCGCGAAGATAATGTTGCGGTCGCCATTCTCGCAGGGCATTGCGTCCTGGTGTCCTGCGAAAATGGCGACAGCGGGAGTGTACGCATGCGCAGAAGCTTACTGGAAAAAGGTCCATTGCTACCAAATTGTCGGAGCACAATGTTCATAATAAGGGCTCGCCACAAGGAAACAAAAACATAAAGGATAAACATAACCAGAAATGTCAATAAAAAAATTACCGTAAAATCCCGTAAGAACGCCCTTACCCAAAATGAAGAGATAAATGGTGAAAAACATGGGGTGGGCTATCTTTAGGGATGCCACAGCAAAACTTCATAAAATATTAATGATAGCGCCTGGGCACCCGCCGAAAACCACATGATGCGGGAACTGATACGGCACATTGCGGACACAGGCAAATTTATGTTTCACGATGCAATAAACACGCGGGAATCCACTACAATCTTGCCTGTCACAGAAACCGATATTGCACGTGCAGATCGCGGACAATAACGCGGGAATATGCTACGAACTTGCATGTCATGGAAACAAATACCGCAGATCGCAAACGCAGCAGATTTGCATTTTACGATACAACATACATGCGGGAACTCGCGCGTTAAGAGAGCCGCTATCAGGCGCGCAGATCGCAGACAAAAACACGTGAGAACCCATTGCGCCGTTGATGCGAGATTCCCGTCAGACATCTCTTGACATCCAACGGGAATCGAGGGGTGGGCAATGTTTTGAAATTTTGATGTTAAAGATATTTAGCCAGAAAAACAAGATGGGCGATCTCTCGGGAGGGGGTGTCCTTACAAGACTTTATGGTATGTTTTTCTGCTCTGTCGTAAGAGGCATGCAACAGGGTATGAAACCACTGGACATAGACATATTATAAAGATATCTTGTTCAGCGTCTGGAAAATATAAAAATTTTCATGCTTGCTGCGACATAATCATCAGCAGTTTGTCGACCTCTGTGGTAGAACACCTGTCATACATTTGATTGCTAAGAGACCTTCCTTCAGTTTCCCTCAGCTTTCTTTCGCCCCATTCTAGGGGTTACCCCTTGTTACTACATTCAAGAATTGTTAGTTGTTCAAATGGATTCATGCTCAGAAGTCAATCTCTGCTACTGCACACATAGAAGTATCTTGCAATGCTTTTTAACACATTGAATGAAGGCTATAAAACATGGGAACCCTCTGAAATTTTTATTCAATATAAATGTATTTGCAGAAAAAAGAGAAAGTTTGCCTGGACTTGCAGAATACAAAAAATAATTTAAAACAGTTGCCACAAAGGTTGTTTGCCTGAGATACAGAACGGTACAAAAAACTTTATAAGTTGCCACAAAGATGAGCTGTCAATATAAGATAAGTGCTTTGCCAGCCTACTTTGATCCTAAATGCTTTCTACATGCAGCGCATAGTAATAAACCATTTGTTCTACAGAGCCTAGTGCAGCTTGCACCAACCACAAAATAACTGCCAGTAGGTAATTAGCACACCTTGCCATGGTATTGCTATATCTGCAGATGAAATCTAAAAGCTCTGCTTCTATACAGAGCCACTTAGCATAATCAAGTCCAAAATTCTAGCTGGCCTTTTGGACCTTCCTTTGCTGTGCTTATCATTGCACCATCCGTAGCTGTACCAAACAAAGAAGCTTAAGGTGCTTCACGCTCCACTTCCAAGCTTGAAGGAATCTCAAACACTAGCGTGCTCGTGGGACAGACGGATGATCATGTGCTTGGCTTCGGCCACACTGCTCTTGTGATTCGTATCGGAAGGCATCTGGAGGGGCAGAATGTGAACGCTGAAGCTGCGCCGTCGGAGTTCTTCCAGCCCGAGTATGGTGGCAATCTCCTCAACGCTCTCGGCTCCTGGCAAGTCCTGGGACAGCATGATAAGAACATTGCATAACTTTTGCCTGGAACTTGACAAAATTTACAAAAAAATACTTAACCGTGATTGTATTCACTAGATTTTAAAGAAACCATCAACCAAATGTAAATGGGCAGTAGGCAACAGATAATCCTGGTATGAGATTACATTATTGCAAAATCACTGACAGTGGTGGAGCCGGAGGGGGAAGGGAGGGGGGGGTGGTGTCAACCCAAAATGCCGCCGGTCCTATAATATACATATCCATGACCCCACCTCCCCTCCGCAAGCCATGGACATCCCAGCCCCACCCCTGGGCCCGAAAAAAATTCCTGTCTATGCCAATAATCATTGAGACTTTCCTGTAATGCCTTTGGTGTCGCAAGTAAGCAGTTGCAACCAGGGACTCAAACCGAACAATGTAACGTTATGGTTACCGTTTCCTGTTGATATCGGTTTCGTTCTGGTTTTTTACGGTTTTAATTTTAACAGTTTCAGTTACTGATTACAGGTTTCTAAAAACCTTTTTTTTTTTGGTTTCTCCAGTAATTTGCTTTACTCAAATGCTAGATAGCCGTTTTATAATGAACAGTTTAAAGAAGTCCCAGATATCCAATAACGAGACATTCACAATAACAAGAACTCAAAAACGTCTTAGTACTTCTAATTGGTCAAAAGTTGCACATGTTTCTAGCTCCAACACTTCTTCACCACATCTAATTGCATTACGTAGTTTGATACCCAAGCACATATGTTACCCCCGCTACTCGGGGATCACTGCGTTCTATATGATAAAAATAAACATCGCTACTTTGTTGTTCGGCAGCGTTTGTAAGCAACTCTCAGAAAGTTCCCACTGGGAGCTGGAAGAAGCATTCGCACCTTCTCGTTGCAATAGTTTGTTGCAGCCTAAGATATGCAGAAGAGGCTTCGCCCACACTGAAGGAAGGAGCAGAACTATAGCCCTCCCCTAGTAAAATACTGCTAAGCGGATTAAAGTAATAAAATTGTGAGCTGGGCTAGTTGGTGAATGTCAAACATAATGCTAATGCAATAGTGCAAAACAAGGAAGGCATAGGAGAGGAACGAACAACATAAAAAGCTGTAAAAATATGCCCTGGGCTGTTCGTTCACGTTAGCCATTTCCAAGCAAATGCATCTGGATATGAAGTGCACGTTACTCGCTGTCCAGTTCTGCGACGCTAGAAAAATTGTGCATTTATATAGTAGCGCCATTTTTCTCCGGAGTTTGGAGGCTGCTTCTCCTACAGATATGCTGCAACAAGGGATGTCACAAACTTTCCTTGAATCGGACTTTTACGTCGAACCTCAAGGTTCGACTGGCTCGACAAACCTTTGACCTTTAAACCAGGTTCTACAAGGTTTGACTTATTGGACAGTGTGGGTTGACTCTGATACAAGCATGCCTAGGTTTAGAGAAAATGTTTTTACGGAATAGTTAGTTTTATTTTATAAATAGTTACAATGAACGGAACATATTTCTTATAACCTAAAAGTTAATAACATACTTCATTCTAGCTATATTACTGAAACCAAACAGTTCTGCCCTTACTAAAAGTAGAATGTTTGACTTAATCATTTGGTCATCACCATCCATTCCAAAGGCAACTGAGACAGCCCTTCGCACATGCGAATGACACTCAAACCCTAGTCAAACTTTCCAATAAAACTTCGAAAAAGTCGAACCTGATTAAGGTTGCCACCTGCCCAGTTTTTGACTGGCCCGGCCGGTTTTTTAGACAGCAGGCCGGTTGCCGGTCCGTAGGTAAGACCGGCCGTCATTGGCCAATTTTTTTACAGCCATGGAAGCGCGATTGCTTTTAGCTTATTTTTTTGGCGTTTTTTAAGCGACAATTGAAGAACTACGACGATAAATATTTGTTGACGAAAAAAAAAAGTCTAAAATTACACAAACATTGTGAGGACACGCGATTAGAGAAAGTATGCGGGCAAGCGCGGCAGGAGAACTCCCCGAGACGAGGGGGAAGAGGGGTACGGTCAACACAAAACGAAACGAGCGCTGGGAGCGCGGTGGAAAGCTGGAAAGCAGGAAAATGAGGGAAAGCGAGAACAAGCAAGACGCCGGCGGGCAACTCGGCGACAGGCCCTCCCCATAGCTGAGCCTTCTGGGAGGTGTTGGTTTTCTTAACGATTGTCGGCATCTTGACAAGGACACGCAGGGCGCTTCATCCGTCCACTGTGACGGGTGGCGTATGCACTTTCCCCAAGCTTTCCCCTTCCACTACACATGGTGTAATATTGTTGTTATTACCTTAGATCCTCGTCGTTTTTTCCCCTCCCCCTTCGTTCTCCATTTAATTGTTTAAGTGCCAAGACCAGAGAAACGCGCCGACGATGTCTAGGAAGAGCTGAGCGTCTCTTGCAGCTGTTGTCACTTTGTTGGCTGCCTGCGTCCCAAAAGTAACTTTCCCTTCCCTTCAGACCTCCATAGTTGTTTTTCTTTTGTTCCCGCTATTCATTCCCTTTCGGAAAGCTTTGCGCGAGCATAAGGGGATATTCAAAGTTAATTGCTTGAGTGCCAAGCCAGACACGCGCCGACGATGTCTAGGAAGGGATGTGCGGCTCTTGCAGCTGGAGTCACTTGGTGGCCTGCATGCATTCCAAAGTGACAGAGAATGTGCGCAATAGGAGCCGCACGTTGAGTTGACTCATTGTCTGTGCTACCGTGCACTGCCAGTGAAGCCATCGCAGAGGATCGAAGGAAGACGCCAATGTTTTTTCGGCACTCTTTCAGAGCATCGATATGGGCTGTAATGTTCAGGCTTGCTTTCTAACTATTTCCAAATGGCTGCCATAAATTAATTATGTGCCGAGAGACGTGTCTGTCTTTTTTTCAAAGGGACGTTAAACACAGATGAGGTTTGAGGTGGAACCGAGGGCAAAGCTACCCGTTTTCTGCTATTCGCAACTCCAAAGCCCTATAGGTGGCGGGGCGGTAGTTCCAAGATGGCGGAAGAGACGGGGATAGATTCTCCAGGATATCCCGTGCGCCTGCTCGCTGACGCTGTTCAGCGCGCTACAAATTATTTATTTGTCCACAAACGTGAAGCGGTTAGGGAGGGATCATATTACAGGTGACAGAGATCCTGATGCACGTTAGGAAAACGAGCATGCTTTTATTTAGAAGTTGCAGAAACCTGAAACTGCGAAGCCTTGAGGTGAGCGATCGCGTTTTAGGCACCGGCCATGTTACTGTTCGTGGCAGAATATTTTTTAGGGTGAAGATATCGTGTTTGCCCTTTGCCTCGCCATTAGTGCTCTAAAAGAGAGCCGCGAACGATGACCGTCAACCTTCGGAAGAGCAGCGTTCACAGTATTGGTGTCTTCGTGTCACAACCTCACAACTCGCTGCTCACCGTCTCGGTTTTAATGTATTTCAGCACGTAATCAAACTGCTCTCTGGTTATTGATAGCAAGTGTTTTTGCCGCAGGCTACCGTGGGGTGTAGCATTACAACCGCAAGCTTGCGCTGCACCTTTAAAGCACAATTTTCCGTGCGCGCCAGGAGCGTTGCCGTGCTCATCACTCTAAAAAAATATTGTAGTCTTTACACCCCTTGTCACATATACGACAATCCAAAACTTCAGTTTGCCGTGCAGCCGACTGACGTCAAACTGACGGCCCCAACTTTTACGAGAGGCTTGATGACGGCGCAATATAAGATATTAAACAGCTAAACTACGCATCAAAGATTACAAAAAAAAAAAAAAAAAAAGAAACACCGAGGTTTTGCAGTAGGGCCAAGGAAACCCCGATTACATTTTTTTAAAGTCTTTTACATTTACTTCAGCTATTTTAATAAGTTGCACAACTCGGCTATCAAGCCGCTCGTGAAAGTTGGTAGCGCCGGTTGAAAGTCAGTGCGCTGTACGTCCAACCGAATTTTAGGGGTGTCTTACGCTATGCAAAAACTGCCTATTAACATAATCGGCGTGTTTAGGGGTTTTATTGATTGCTCTATCAAAATAAATATTTTAATGTACCATACATTTTTTGTACCGTGCTATTTGCAAAATTGCGGTCACTCTGGACAAAACTGCGCGTTCTAAGCTCTCCTCACGAACGGCTGGCTAACACAGACGCGCTTGAAATGCTTCGAGCATTGCTTTATTTGCTTTGTAATTACCTGAAAGCAAGTGCCGGTATTCTGTTTTTTTAAAGTGCTTGGAATAAATGGTCATGTTCCTTGTAACGGCCTTAAAACGCTGATGAAAATAATCCCTGGAGAAGGGGAACAAGGGGGACAAAGGACAAACATAAATCTCCAAACACAGCTAGGTGACTGGTGAGCGACCGAAAAAATCCGCCTGGTCCGGGTATCGAACCCGGGACCTCTCCATTACATGTGGAGCGCTCTACCTGTAATGTAAGCGCTCCACCTGTAATGGAGAGGTCCCGGGTTCGATACCCGGACCAGGCGGATTTTTTCGGTCGCTCACCAGTCACCTAGCTGTGTTTGGAGATTTATGTTTGTCCTTTGTCCCCCTTGTTCCCCTTCTCCAGGGATTATTTTCATCATTCTTGTCCAGCTCGCTTGCACCTTTGCATTTAATTGCATTATAATTACAACTTAAAACGCGAATCCATTCCCGATTTGTATTGCTCGACATACCGTTGCGCGACGAGTTTTCTCCTACTTATGGCAAAGAATAGACTTTCCGTAGGCCGTACAATAGAGTTCTTCATTATTAGCGGGAGCGTTTTCCGTCACGTTGAGCACAGATTGAGCTGGCGGCCATGCACAAGACCAGAAATCCGCAGCGTATGCGATACACGAAATGTCCCTAATGAAATTAGACATCCCGGTCCTTCGTGCAAGGCTGTTGCAAGGCGGAGCACAAGAATTCCTTTTTTTTTTTTTAACGCGCTCATTTTTTTTATTTAAAACGGCTTCACGCATCAAGGCCGACAGTCCCTGCCACCGTTTCCGCGCCGACGCCGCCGCTGCCGTCCCCGCTCCTCTGGTT